AAGCCAAGCCCGAAGTGGTATTGCCAACAATAGTAGAGGTCAATGTGGTTCGAGAAGATGGCCCGAGCCAGGGCTTGGATGATCTAGCGTAGCTGGAAGAAGACTTAGACAATCTGCAGTTCTACGATGAACAAGATCAGGGGGATGTGCAGATTGACTAGTTTGATTTGAATAGGTCGATAGACAACTCTAGATGGCTTAGTGATGAACCCGACCAAGAGGAAGAAACCGAATCAAAACCTGAAGAAGTAGGAGTGACTGTAGTGGCCAGAATGGCCGAAGACAAGGGGAAACTGCTAGAGAGCCCCAGTATTAAGAATTTAGCTCAGGAATTGGGCGTCATAAGTATTGCTGATACTGAACAAGAAGCCGCGTTGAAGCGGTTTGTGCAAGAAAGGGATACTTCTGATGAAGGAATGATTAGACTGGAGCCAGACAACTGTTTGTCGGCTACCGAAGGTGCATGGTGGGAGGACGATGATCTGCTTTTGGCTCACACCAATGAGGATTAGGGTGAAGACCTGCCAGACAACTCTTGGTAATCCGAAGAGATAGACCATATGACTAGAAGTGGGCGGTACTTCAAGCCGCCGCACTTGGACCAAGCTGAGGCCTCCGGGAAGGATAAAGAGGTAGAGAAGCAAAAGGAAAAGCAGTTCGATGAAGAGGTAGTGCTGAAACAGCTGAAGAAGATCCAGGCCGATATTTCTATCTAGGGTCTGCTTATGGCTTCTTGGGTGCACCGACAGGCTGTATTATCAACAATGGACAAAGCCAAATTGTCCATTGACACAACTCCTGAACGGTTTGTTGGATTAGTCTTCCCGGAGGCACTGTGCCAATTTTAACCTTCTCAGATAAGGAACTACTACCAGAAGGCTCATCACACAATAAACCTCTATGCATATCAGTAAAGTGCAGAGAAAAGTGGGTGCCAGTGGTATTAGTTGATACAGGGTTGGATATCAACGTCTGTCCATCTAGCGCGACTTATGCCATCAGTTTGAAACTAGCAGATTTCATGTCTACAGCCCACGTGATTCAGGCGTATGACAATATTAGCAGGGAGGTGATGGTCACAATACAGATAAGAGTTTAAGTGGGCCCAGCTCAATAGGATATTGAGTTCCATGTCCTGGATGTGCCAACAACTTTCAATCTATTGCTAGGGAGACCTTGGTTGCACCAAGTGAGAACTGTCTCCTCTACCCTTCATTAAATGCTAAAATACCCTCACGGGAAGGTGGTAGCTATTGTGTTCAGGAATTCATCTATACATCCTCTGCCAGAGGTAACTACACCTGTGCTAGAAATTGTTCATGGTGAGGAGGATGTTTTCCTTTCCAGGTTCACTCTAGCTGAGGCCCAAACAGTGCAAACCATCGTGGTGGCTGATGAGGGCTTGTATGTTAGCACCCAATCAATCTATTTCACAAATAAGCTCCAACATGTACCAGGAATGGGTTTGGAAAGAAGTGGCCGGAAAAGCATCACCGCATTGGCCGATGTGCCACATAATCCACATCCCTTTGGTCTTGGCTATACGCCCACCAAAGAGGATTGGGTTAGGAAATGGAAAGAGATGGCGGGCAGAGCCAGAGCCAAGCAGACCGGGAAGCGCTATGAACTTGTGCACAGACCAATCCGGGGGACCCTGAATGGCTATTTTGTTCAGGAGGGTGAAGACTTCCCATTTTGCGGTTTCCCTAAACCCTGGTTCAATTCTAAGAAGTAGCATGTTCCCGGCTTTGAAATTTTCTTTGACTTACAGCTACAAAACAGTGATATAGAAAAAAAGGCTGAGCCAACTGTTGAAGCTGAATGGAGCACATAAAGTGATTCTAAGAATGGTGAACTCAAAGTAGGAGCAACACTAGGATGTCTCCTTTTGGATCTTTCGGCCAACTCAGAGAGCTTGGGGCATAACCTGACCATTTCCTTGATCGGAGATCAACCGGTTGTGAACCTTTCTAGCAGCATTTTGGATGCATCTGACGCACCATCCCTCATTTGGCAATTAGAGGAGGGCTACCTGTCTAGCAGTTCTGAGTCAGGTAGTGAGCCAAAGTCTGATTCCACATAGTCTGTGGTGTCGGAATCAAATTTCGGTGCTTCTGAGTCTCAGTCCGGTATTCTTAGAAGTGATAACCCGGATGCCAAGGTCTTGTCCAGGTCGTCTTTTTCCTTTTCTTTTGAGTCGGTTGTAACCGAAGAACTGGATGAGCGGGACTTGATGAATGAGAATGCCACTGCAGATTCTGAGTATTTCTTTGTGCCACTTATTTATTGCATTGATCATGATTTTTAAAATTGTGACAAAAATGAAGAGAAAGGAATTCCTCCGGTTTTGAAAATTTTGATTAATCGGGAGGAGGAGAGGTTTGCAAAACCCCTTTCTGATGAAATCATTGCTTTTAATGTGGGTACTGAAAAGGATCCGAGTCTAGTCCAGATTGGGTCAACGTTGTTTTCGGAGGAGCGTGAGCGCTTAGTCGCTTTATTAAAAGATTTCAAAGATGTTTTCGTCTGGTCCTACAAAAACATGCCTGGAATCGATCTTGAGATTGTACAGTATCGGATCCCTCTTGACCCCGAGGCCCGATCCATCAAGGCGAAGTTGCGGAGAATACGCTCGGATTGGGCTTTGAAGATTAAGGAAGAGGTTATCAAGCAGATAGACGCAGAGTTCTTGCTAGTATCTGAGTATCCAACTTGGTTGGCTAATATAGTCCCAGTGCCAAAGAAAGATGACAGAATTCGAGCGTATGTGGACTTCAGAGATCTGAATAAGGCCAGTCCAAAGGACGACTTCCCTTTGTCGCACATCGATGAATTGGTGGACTTCACTGCAGGTCATGCGTTCCTTTCCTTCATGGATGGATTTTCTAGGTATAACCTGATTCGGATGGCGCCCGAGGATAGAGAGAAAACTGCTTTCACTATGCCATGGGGAACCTACTGCTACATGGCGATGCCATTTGGGCTGAATAATGCCGGGGCTACCTATCAAAGGGCTGCATCCACAATTCTGCATGATATGATCCATAAAGAGGTCGAGGTGTATGTGGACGACATAATTGTCAAGTCCAAGGAAAGATAGGGCCACTACACCGACTTGAAAAAATTCTTCCAACGAATCAGAAAATATAGACTAAGGTTGAACCCACAGAAATGCAGTTTCGGCATAATAGTAGGGAAAATGCTGGGTTTCTTGATCACACAGAGGGGCATTGAGATAGATCCTTTCAAAATCAAGGCCATCCTAGAAATGCCCCCACCAAGGACTGAAAAAGAGGTGCAAGGCATTCTGGGTAAAGTGCAATTCATAAGACGATTTATTTCAAAATTAACCTTGACTTGTGAACCACTATTTGGTCTTTTGAAGAAAGGAAAAAAGTTCTGATGGGATGATCAATGTCAATTTGCTTTTGAGTAGATCAAGCAGCATCTTCAGAATCCGCCTGTGTTGTCGCCGTTAGAGCCAGAGAAGCCTTTGATTTTGTATCTGTCAGTAACCAACACAACAATATGCATGCTTGCTCAGGAATCTGAGTATAAAGTGAAGAAAGCCATCTACTATTTGAGCAAGAAAGTGCTAGATTATGAGACTCGTTACACCTCGCTGGAGAAAGCTTGCTTAGCCTTGGTATGGGCTACCAGGAAGTTGAGGCACTACTTATTAGCTCACTCCGTAATTCTGGTTTCCAGATTAGATCCCATCAAATATCGCTTTGAGAAACCAGTGTTTACGGGTAGGCTAGCCAGTTGGTTGCTTCTCCTTTTCAAATTCGATTTTAAGTATGTTACTCGCATGTCGGTCAAGGGGAGAGTAGTAGCGGAGTTCCTGGCAGATCACCCAGTAGAAGGGAATGAAGCGGTAGAATACATGTTCCTAGATGAAGCTATTCTGTAAGTCGAGGAAGAGATTTGGACAATGTACTTTGACGGAGTGTCTAATTAATACAGTTATGGGATAGGTGTGTTGTTGATAGCACCCGGCAATTCCCATATACCCTTAGCCTTTAAACTTCGGTTCAAAGTATCCAATAACGAAGCAGAATACGATGCGTGTATCGCTGGTTTGGAAGCTGCCCTAGAACTAGGGGCACAAAGGTTGGATGTTATCGGGGACTCGAACCTAGTTGTGTCTTATGCCAATAGAGACTGGAAAGTCAAAGAAGAAAAGATGAAGATCTATCACCAGACCTTGGACGTTCTGATTCCTAGGTTTGAAAAGCTGACCTTCACGAATCTACTAAGAGAGAACAACTGGTTTGTTGACGCCTTATGAACTCTATCTTCTATGATAGACATCCCGTTTGGAGTCTGGATGCGTCCGATCATCATTGAGCAAATACACACGCCAGACTATGAGACTATTGTCACAATAGATGAAGTTTAAGATCTAAACCCTTGGTTCTATGACATTTGGAACTTCTTAGAAAAGAAGGTTTATCCACCAGGGGCAAATGCCAAAGACAAAAGGGCAATACGGCGGGTGGCTATTCAATTTATCATCTGCAAAGGTAAATTGTACAAGAGAGGTCATCTGGGAATGCACAAGTTGTGTGTCAAAGTAGAGGAATCAAAGCGCCTGATAAAGGCTATCCATGGAGGAGAGTGCGGAGCGCACATGAACGGAGTAATGTTAGCCTGGAAGATTCTCAGGCAAGGTTACTATTGGTCTACCACACTACTAGAAAAATAGGTATAAGACATGGAACATTTTGCAACAGCATATTAACTGTCGCAAAAAGTAATCTTTTGCGACGACTAATACCTCGTCGCCAATGATCACTTTTTGCGACGGCATTTCCTGTCTCAAAAGATAGAAGGATATATTGGATGGTTTTTACGATGGCAAACTATTGGCCATCGTGAAAGACCTATTTTTTTGAGATGGCTTTTTCTCTCGTCGCAAAAAGATTTTTTTTGCCATGGCCTTTCTTGTGTCATGGCTAATAGACCAAAAAAAAAAAAAACGCTTCTTATTCTTTCTCTCTATCATGCCTCTGTCTCTCTGTCACGCCCTCCTCCTCCTCCCCTCTCTCTCTCTCTCTCTCTCTCTCTCTCTCTCTCTCCACTGTCGTCAGTATAGGATCACACGACCACCACTGCCACTGATATCACCATTGCAAACTAGCAGCCATTCTCTGAAATCGAGGAGACGCAATCGAAGCGGTTTGACATTAAGATCGCCATCCAAATTTAGACGCTAGAATCGACAGAGACGACAATTGAGCTACGTAGTAGGGGCGGAATGTAGTGGGGGAATCAGAAAACCTAATTTTATTTCTCTTCACTCTCTCTCTCTCATATATATATATATGTATGTATAAGCAGTTTTAGATCTCTCTCTCTCTTTAATTAAATTTACAGAACATGATGCTTTGCTTTGTTTTGCTTTGAATTGCTTTCTCAGAACTCAAAAAGAGAAAGAAAAAGAAAAAGGGTTTTCTTGACAACTCCATTCGATTCATCTAAAATTCTCGTTTTCTCCAAAATGGGGTTGTGGGATTCCCTCCTCAATTGGCTCAGTAGGTAATTTACTTCTTTCTCTTCTAATCTTCCATATTTTTTGTCAGAATGATTCTTGTCTAACTCCAAGGAATGAAGCGCAAAATGGAGCATTCTGTCAGGGAGAAACAGTTTCATTTACTTCTAAGGTTGTTAAGGATTTTTTGAAGTTGTGTCATAATGTTATGGTAAATGAATCTCGTGTTTTAGTTCTCATCTTGGTTATGACAAAATTGTTCATGGTGGATATATCTTGTTAAACTGTTTATATACATTATTAGTGGGAGTTGGTCAATTGGAGTAATTTTGTGTTGCTTTAAAACAGCATGAAGACAATATAAAAAATATGAAGTCTCAGAAAAATAGCTTGGATGACTTCATTCTTGACATGCAAGGTATATTATTTTCTAATTTTTAGTTTGTGTAAGTGTGCCTGTAAAATTTATTGTCTAATTTTCTAATTAAATGTTTTAAGATATTACGTTTTTTGAAAAAAAGAAAGAAAAGAAGTTACTGCCAGAAATTAGCTTGATTGGTATATGTTGTCATATCAAAAGGGAAGATGCAGGATTCAAGTGCCAATTAGCAAAAATTATGTTCCCTAAGCCCTTAAGTAGAGGCCACATAGTGCGCTCTGTGAGTGTGATTGGTTTTCGTCAATAATGCATTTCTAATGAGCATAACTCATTAAATTTTACCAATTTCTATCGTACCCCTTGTTCACACTGAAGATCAACTCCATGCTTTTTTATTACAATTACATGGAATTAAGTTATTACGTTAATAAGATCTGCATTCAAACTTTGGAAGTGAAATAATTTTGAGTTTGAAGAAGTTAAGATCTTGATTCTCTTGCGATAATGTATGATTTACTTGTATCATTTGCTTATATTTTTTTCCTGATAATTATTATCTCATTTAATCTTGGGAAATATCATTCATCAAGTATGCCTATGATGGAAGACAGGGATCATACTGGTGTGGACAGTGAGGAGGAACCATTAGAACATATAATAGGGCACGAGAAATCTGCAACTGGCATTTTGTGCTTGCCGAAACTTGCCATGGCAATGAGGCTTCCAATCTTCTATTGACCAAGGATGTGTTGGGTATTGTTGCTACACTTGGGAAAGTGGATGATGACAATCTCAGTAGGTTGGTTTGAAATTGCAATCTTCTGTGTTTTTAATTGTTTACTTTGTACTATTGTCATTGCTTCTTATTTAGTTGTGTTCGATAATTTTTCAGCCATTTTGACATGGACATGGTAGAGAATTAATTGTCCCATCCTAATGATATGTAGCTCTAGTGATTGAATATATTCTGGTAAATGTTTTGTATATTATTAGGTTCGTTTGAAGTTTGCATGGTCGTGTGTGTTTTTGAATAGGTGCAATGAGTGTAGTTGTTACATTGATGTCTTGGCAGTTCTGATGTTAAGATGCTATGCTAACTTTACTGGCTCATGGATGGTAGACTTCCTACAGCATGTTGATTAAGGTGTAGTCAGAGAGTCTTACTGTTATTAGTGATCTATAGTATACTTGACATGTTCTGTTTTTCCAACTCTAGAGTCAGGCTTGTCTCGGAGTACTTGGGTATAGAAACGATGTTGGCAGTTGTCTGCAAGACTTACAATGGTGTTAAAGCTCTGGAAACATATGAAAAAGATGGTTCTGTCAGTAAAAGTTCTGCCCTTCATGGGCTTGGAACTTCCATAGGGAGGCATTTGGATGGCCATTTTCAAGTCATTTATCTTGAAAATTTAAGGTATGTGGCCCCATGTACCATCTTTTTCTTGTACAATGGAGTTCTAGTTTGTTGATATTATAAAATACTGTTTTTTGTTGTCAGACCATTCCATGGTGAGTTTGTAGCGGAGGACCCCCAGATGCAACTTGATATTTTCAAGCCAAGTTTATATTGTAAATAATTTTTTTTTATTTTTATTTTTATTTTTTATTTTTTATTTTTTATTTTTATGGGTTCATCAAACTTTTTGTTGCCTCAGTTACAGATCGTATGTGCAGATCTGGTGCTGTTGATCTCATCTGCGTTGATTCTGTCTCAGCTCTTACTCCACGAGCTGAGATTGAAGTAAGTTTCATCGTTTTTATTTTCAGAATACAGAAGTTGACAAGATTGCTAATGCCTGACACATCCTTGGGTCTGTTTGTTGTACATAGGGGGAAATTGGAATGTAGCAAATGGGTTTGCAAGCATGTCTCATGAGCCAAGCTCTGTGTAAAATGTCTGGAAATGCCTCCAAAGCTAGATGTACTCGTATTTTTCTGAATCAAATAAGACAAGGTAATTTTGATTAATAAGGTGTAAAATAGAGCCCTGAAGACCAGAGGACACACTCTATTACAATCACTTTCTTCAATCACTCTCACCATTACTACAACTCAAGGTCCAGTACCGAAGGTTTGTTCATTTCCATCAATTTTCTTATCATTTTCCTTGTAATTTTCCTTCATTTTCCATTTCACTGTGTTTCCTCCTGTTAAATCATATATTTTGCATACATACACACACTAAGGTCATGTTTGTTTGGGTGGACATGAGCTTGGGATTGAACTAATAGTCTAATAAAATTATTAATCCGATGTTTGGTTAAACAATTGAATAATTATTTTACACTTGACTATTAGTTAAGATAGGATACATAATCCAACGGATTCGTAGTCCTAGGACTATTAGTCATGGGAATGCTAATCCAGTCCGCCCAAATAAACATGGCCTAAGGGTATAAGCCCACCTGATGGGTGTGTTATTAAATTTGTAAAATATAAATTTTAATTTTGAATTAGAAATATATATAGTGTTTGTTGATCAAGTGGTAAGGGTTTTGTTTTCGAAACTCAAGATCTTAAGTTCAAATCTTGTGCACTTTATAAATTTTTTTCTCTTTTTTTTATATAAAAAAATCCACTTCGCAAAAGGAAAGAGTAGGCTTCAAGACACTAAAATGAGTTGTTCACACATATATAATAGTATATCTATAATTTATACAAAATTATTTGTAGTGAAGTAATTTTATTGATTTGAAAGAAGTTTGAATACTGCTCTTAATTAGATAAGTGTTCGTTGTTGTCTGTGAATCGGAAGCTAAAATAGTCTATTTGTTTATCAAATCATACTGTGTTTTGCTGGCTGATTGAGTTGCATTCTTCTTTCCTTCATCTAGAAACTTTTCGAAAACCATGATTCTCAATGCATGGCTTTTCAATTCACAGTTTACTCTTGATTCTTAAAATAGGTAATCTTTCTCATTGATTTGAATTGAGGATTCTCAATGCTGGTTTTTCAGTTCACAGTTTAGTGTTGATTCTTAAAATCGATAAAACATTTTACAATTCGATACGTGATTTTATAACTATAGTTCTGATTTGGAACAAGTCTAGACCGTTTACATACATACATACATATATACATTCATATAAATTGTTATTTTTCATAAACACTCGAGTACTTAATTATGCCAATGACTTCCCCATCTTCAGTGAGTGTTGAGAGCGAACAATGAGGCATAGTAGTTGCTGCTGTGCTGAGCTCACAATAGCAACCCCAAACCCCCCAATAACCTATTTAAACTTTAAATAAATTGCTTGTAGCATATATAAACACCAATAATTTTGACTAAGAATAAAATAGTTCACAGTAATTTTGTAAATCCATCCCAATAACCTATTTAAACTTTAACTAAATTTCATGTAGCATATAAACACTAACTACTATAGCGGGTTGCAAAAAGGAGTATTGAATGAATAGTAATCGAGATGTAAACAAGTAACAGACAATAAACAGAGAGTATAGAGAAGGTCTTTGGGTGAAAAATAAGGAAAGCACCCCTTAAACTGAAAACAAATTAGCACACTATTAAATACACCTTACCAAGTGTCCCGAAGGCACTCATTGCCAATAGCCAAACTTTATTAGTCTCATGTTATTGAAAGGGGGTTTGGGGAATGAATGGACTAAAATTGGAAAAAGGGGAAATATGATTAATTAAGCATTGAGTTAAAAGTTGCTTGAAATATGGTGACAATAATAGACTCCATATGAGTATGAAAGGGAACTCTTGCTTATTTTGGGAAGTCACATTTTACATTTGGTTGTCAAGAAAATTATTCTCGGTTTGTAAACCCTAGTTACTGTTATCTTTTTTTGCATAAACTATATTTTGGATGTGTTAATGTTGTTGTGTTGTCAATCACTACTCTCCATAATAAGCTTATAATGGGGGCTTTCTTTTAGTTGGATTTATTTGTCTATATATGTTCTTTTTTGGACGATATGTCTTTTGGGTCCCTCCACTGTTATGCAGCAGACATTGTTTTTTTTCTTCTATTCTTTGATTAAATGTTACTTATCACTCTTTGATTCTGACTTTGCCCTAGTATCACCTCCAAGTTATCAATTTGAAACTGATAGCCTTTGCAAACAGATTGTTCTATATGAATATATTGATCAATGAAGGAATGAAATTTGCAGCTTTATTTTGCTACTATTATGAATTATCAATTTATTTTATTGATTTAGCATTTGAATGGAAGGATTGATTTTTGTTCTAATAATTGAAATGTCAATGGTGGTGAGCTATTATTCTTTAATGATTTAGCATTTGAATGGAAGGACTAATTTTTGTTATGAGAATTGAATAGTCAATGGTGGCGAGCTGTTATTCTAAAGTGACATCCATTCTTTTAGTGATTCCTATTCATATATCCTTCTCATCAAACTTCTCTGAAATATAATTAATATGATCTCTATTTACATTCAGAAATTGACAAATGGTAGTGTGACAAAACATCACTCTTAGAACCTTTTGGAGTTTGTAATCACTGACTGTTGATAGTCTAATAATTGGTAGTGTGACAAACCATCCACTTTGGTCGACGGTGCTGGTTTGGTTTTATAACCCTATACGACAGTCTTAGCAGAACCTTTGGAGTTTATAATTTCAACTTCGATGTCTCTCTATTCATACTCACACATCTTGATTGATTTGTCCATGGTATGGAGTCACATAAAACTACTTATTCCTTAGAGTTCAAAAATTGGTTATTATGTCATTAACAGAATGTATGGAAGTCAAGTGAAGTTTGTGCCCAAAAAAATTGAGTTTATAATGCAGGGTTTTAGGGAATTTTAAACCATGGAAGCCCTTGCAGTGATTGGAATTAGTTCGGTTATTTGTGGCAATACTTGTCTCTCACCTGGTAGACATCCATGATACCTCAGTTCTGAGCTTTCTAAAAATTTAATTAGCCATTTATCCTGAAAAAGGGTACTGTCCGGTACAAGGTTCTTGGCCAGTTTCATGAAATAAATATTAATTGTTTTACATTTTCTGTAAGTTTGAAATTAATTATATTATAAATGATATTTTTTTTTTTTGTGTTTTTTTTTGCAGATGCAACCCTTTTTGAGTACGTGATGATATTTTTGCATTTCGATATTGGAGCTTACTGTTGATATTAAAACAAACTATAATATATATGTTTTTTTATTTGGATTGTTGATACTTTTGTTTTGCTTTAGATACAAAAATTTAAGTTATTGAATATCAAAAGTTATTAGTATTGTTAGAGAATGTTTTATATATTTTTGTAAAGAATATTTGGTTGACAATTGTTACAGGATAAATATTACGTAAGATTTTGTGAATATAAATGTGGATGTGTGTGGATGTGGATATGGATGCAGATGTATTTTATTTTAGAAAATATTAATAATTTGTACGGGGAATGAATTAATAAAATATATATTGATTTTATGAAAATAATTTTATTGCGACAATAATAACTGTCGCTAATGTAATCATCATTTCCTTACATTTTATTAGCGATGGGTTAACCTCTAGCATATACATATTAGTTCAATCTTTAGCAATGGTTTAAACTGTCGCAAATATGGTATTAATTTAATTTTTCTTTTTTGTGACATTTTAGGCCGTCGCTAATAATACTTTTCGCGGCGTCAAATATTGTCGCAAAAAAAGTCTTAGCGACGACAACCAATATCGTCACTAAAAAGTGGAGTTTTTCCACCTTTTTTATGTCAGGTTAAACCGTCGCCAAAACTATTGATTAGCTATTGCTAAAAGAACGCGACGGTTTGTAACCATCACAAATACTTTTTGTCACACCCCTTTCCGCGACCCCCATTTTCGCAAAAGACTTTTTGTGACGATATATGGACCTTTTGCGATGTTTGAGACCATCGCAAAAAGTCTAATTTTTAGTAGTGAGGAGGATTATATTGGTTTTGTTTGGCGATGCCACAAATGCCAAATTCATGCTAATTGCATGAACATCTCGCCATCGAAGTTGTACAACATGACTTCACCATGGCCTTTCTCAATCTGGGGATTTGTCGTCATCGGCGCAGTCACACCGAAAGGGTCGAATGGGCATAAATACATTCTGGTGGCAATTGATTACTTCACGAAATGGGTGGAAGCTCAGTCCTATGCAGTGTTGAAAGTAGTGCATGTGGCTAAGTTCATCCGAAATAACATCATTTGCCGATATGGAGTCCCAAACGAGATCATTTCAGATAATGGCTCCCATTCAAGAAAGAAGTGATCGACTTGTTAGAGAAATACAACGTGGCTTTCCACAAGTCATCCACATATCGGCCGCAAACCAACGGAGCTATTGAGGCTGCCAACAAGAACATTAAGCATATTTTGCAAAAGATAGTCGAGACCTGCAAGGACTAGCTAGATAAATTGCCATTTGCACTCTGGGGCTACAGAACTTTAATCCAGACGTCTACAGGGGCAACTCCTTACTCTTTTGTCTATGGGATGGAAGCTGTTTTGCCAATTGAAATAGAAGTCCCATCGTTGCGGGTTGTGGCTGAGTGTCAAATAGCAGAGGCGGACTAGCAGCAGAGCAGGTTCGAAGAACTAATGTTGTTTGATGAGAGAAATAAGAAAGTATTGTACCATGTTCAGGGTTATCAACGCAACGTTGCTAGGGCTTTTAACAATAAAGTTAAGTCCCGGAATCTCAAAGAAGGGGATTTGGTGCTGAAAGACAATTGAGCTCCCATCCATGACCCTAGGGGCAAGTTCAGACCTAATTAGACTGGTCCTTACATCATCAAAACTATCTGGTCGGGTGGAGTTGCTATTCTCATGGACCTGGATGGCCTGGAATTTTCCCAACCGATCAACATGGACAAGTTGAAGAAATACTATCCTTGAGAGGCTCGCTAGGCCAAAAACCCGGAAGGGTGACCTATGCAAAAGTTAGAGCATAAAAAATTAGAAATAAAGAAAAACTAAGCTCACATGGTTAAAAACCCTAAAGGGTAGCCTTGGCAAAAGTTAGAGCGTAAAAAGAGTGTTAATACTCGAGTGAACCCGAATCGAACTATGTAAGGCTTGATTCCCATCTTCGGGATACGTAGGCAACTTCATCCTGAAGTTTGGCCGTAAACACCTCTAACTCAACTATCCTGTCCATGTGTCTGATCAGGTCATCTTTGTCTATTCTTTACCTAAAAGTTCGGTTGTGATTTTTACTCTGAGAGAAGAGCTGGTTACAGTACAAATCAGTGTTATTTAGATAAGGGGCAATTTGTGATCTTTGGATTCGGGGTTCTACATCTCGAGGATTGATTCCATGTGTGTCAAGTGGTGATCCTTATCGAAAATGGTTTTGAAACGTTTTAATAGAAGTTGATTTTGTTCAAATTTTACCTTTTACAACTTAGGCCATTTTTGGACCAAAAGAAAAACTTTCAGTGCTCACAACTTTAATTTCATTGATTTCAATACAAAGTTCTCCAACTCTTGATAAAAATCAAAGTAGCTTTTATTACATTCATAAGACTTAAAAAGTAAAATCAAAGCAATAAACTAGGGGCATAGATGAGTCAGGTGCTCCTGCGTCCCCTGCTTGTGCTAGTGGAAGCTTCCGATGCCAAAAGTGGGTTCGGTTTGTGCCTCGTCCCCGAGCCAAGCCAGGTAGGAGCCAGAAGTTCTCTCGTTCTCCAAGTAATGAGGAACCCAGCCAAATGTGAACGTCGGATGGGGAATGAAACCGGGTACTCTACCCCCCCTTTGGGCAAATCTGATCATGTCCAAATTGATACCTGAACCGGAACGGAAAGTAGAATACATAGTGTGTCAGGCCGATCAGCTAAATGCCAAGTTGCTAAGTCATATTGTAGCTCATTTCGATAAGGTTAAGCTAGGGGCAACGCCAAGCAATGTCAGCAGCAAACTTGTTGCACATCCAGTGGCACCACCACCCTTCATTCGAGAATTCCACTAGACGGTGGTGAAAGAAATAGCCTCGAGCTGAGTATGTGGGACAAGAGTCCATTACCTTCAGTTTGTCCATTAGCTGCACCTGGGGAGGGATGAAAAAAAAGAGAGATTAAAGAATAGAGAGATGTATGTTGAGAGAAAAGTGAGAAAAGGGCTTTGAGAAAAAAAAAAAAAAACAGAGCATGAGTGCCGAGTGATGTGAAAAATGCATATTAGAAAGGGTAGGAAACATTACTTGAAGAAATAGTGGACTCCCTGCAAATTTGGTAGCCTCTCGCCAATGGAAGGCATCTAAGCCCATCAAAGTCTTGGCCAACACCAAACCAATGCAACTCTTGCCCTCTCCTAGGCCTTGGGCTACTTCAAATAGCCGAATGCTGGACCCTCCGAAACTAGGGGCAAGAAGGAAATGAGCCAACATACATAAGCAAAGGGCGTGTTGCTGAAAACCCCACCAAAGAAGGTCGCCTTGGTCACCGACTTTAGAAAATCGATGAATCAGGCTGGGAATATCCAGCTTTCCGTTGTGAACTAAAGATCGAGCCTCATTGTAACATGCACGCGGGGGACCTCGCTACAGCTCGGACTCGATTTGTAGTCATGGTTCTAAGTCTGAACCAAAGAGTCCAAATCCGGCAAATCGTTTTGAGAAAACAGATTTTTGAAAGAAGTGCCAAACATGGACTGCTTTGCCAGATACAGAGTCGCCACCTAAATATTTTATTTTGGGAAATTTAGGAAACCCTGACTCGGTGCCAAAAGGCCACGCGTCCGTCATCACCAAAGTTGCCTCGGCTCGGGAACTTGGATATGATTGGGGAAGGTCACTTCGTGAGCACCCCCGCTCGCCCGGTCATAGACCGGCCTCTACTAACCACGATATCAATTTTTGAAAACATTGTGAGTTCTTATTCCGGTTATTAGCCTAGGTTACTATGTGATGCGCACAGCATACAAGTATAGACCGGGTCGTCCGAATTGGAACAAAACATTTCATGCTTGTTTATTTGAAAGTGGTTTGATGGTGCTACCCGCAAGTAGGCTAAATGTGGATTTGCCACCCTCAGGTGGGCTTAGAAAAACAT